TTTGACCGGAGAGATTTAGATTTGCCGGTCTTCAGCATATTTTACCGGTCATAGTCCGGTAATTACCGGCTAACGGGAACTCTGCTTTACAGGATCAGAACATGTTGCAAAATATTATCGACTGATTCTGATTACATCATGAGGCAATAGTTATGCAACCATGATATACTCTTTATAATAAACAGTGACTTTTACTGGAAGTGGCAGCATTTGAGGAAGCCATAATACCTAAAAAGTGAGGGAAATACTCAGTGCTGACTGAGCTGAGAGTGCAGTGCAACTTCTGCTGCTTGTAAACGTTTACACTTAAGTGTTTAAACATCCATGGCATCCATTAAATGTTGCTCTTGTGTTTGACTCATAGGAAATGATTTGTTATCATGGTAACTCTTTTCTGCTAGTATATTTTCTCTCTAGAGACAAGGGCCCTTGGTCACTTTTACCTGAGCAAAGTCATTCCTTAGTTCCTGCTCCTCTTGTTTGTGTGATTCCTCTCTTTATTTCCCAAAGCAATAGAGGATCTGTCTCTCTCACCGGCCCTGGACAGAAGACTGCAGAGCATTGCAATTTCACGCACTCACGACAGATAAATCTTTCTGCTTGGCTGGCCATGAATCTTCTCGGGCTGTGTGGCCACACAGTGTGGCACTGTTGCACCTGACGGAAGAGAAGCTGCACCCTTTGAAACTTGGGATGCACCTGCATTGGTTAGAAATCCCTTTTTTATTTTCATGCCATCTATGGTACAATTAGAGAAAATGAAAAGCGCTTCCAGGGTCAGGTGTAATGTTGTTAAATATGCATCTACTTAAAAATGTAATTGGAAAGTAAACAAAAACAAACCGATCACATTAGTTTGAGCTTGTTCTACGGTGTAATGGAATATAAACTAACCTACCATTTAAATACCATACTAGACATTACATGTTTGCGGTTTCTGTATGCCACTGTCAGCGTTTACTTTGAGAGCATATGTTTAACCTTCAGCAAATGAACCTTTAGTTTCTTTCCTAGCTGCCGTTCAACCCTTTTCCATACCCCTCAATCATCCGATGCTATCCCACTGAGCGGGCCATGACAATGGGCTGCCTATGGAGCAGGACTCAGGCAGAATATCAATGGAGTCTGGCTGGCCTGAGCCACGCTACTCTTCATCCCTCATTTCCCAAATGTGAGTCACTGGGAAAAAAACTGGCCCAAGCGTAGACTGATGAAGACATCCTGTAGCAATGCTTTTAAAGTATTCCCTAAACACTTCTAGGGCACTACCCAAACCTGTAGCTTGTGGGAACTGTAGTGCACATAGAATAACATAACATCTAGAAGATAGGAGAGGGAAGAGTCTTTGTTTTTTGTTTTTCAGCCACGCTCACTGTAAGCAGCACTATGCACATACTATAGTATTAATATATTCCATCTCATTGATTAGATCCTGCTAGATGAATACCCATTAGTCTGCACAAAGCTAAAATCAAAGAAATACAGGCAAATTAAGATGTGTATCCAAGTCTGCAATCAGAGTTGGCTGTAGTCCCCAGGGAGGTCTACATGTACAAATGTAAACCTGATTAATGTGGTAGTTGTTTAAATCAAACTGCATTGAACTGATTGCCGCACTGGAGGTTTCCTATGCATGTCACTCAATACTAGACCAAACTAATCACATGGCTATTGTGTTTATACAATGCATCTGAATTACAGTTGCTTGCTATTTTTGCAGTGTTATTCTATGGGCTGAAGTTCAAGGCAAAAGACAAAGCATTACTAGTTTTGCAATAAAAGTAGCTTTATGTGCCATCAATTCACCACTCAATTCTGGTCTATTTCTAGTATGATCTATAATTCTACTGCAAATTGTAATGAACTTAATCTGATGCAGTTTCAATATTGTTTTTGATTCAATACATATTGTTCTGTCCTATCTGGAGCAGCTGTAACGTTGTGAGAGCTTAAAATCATGGCACTGTCCTCGACGATCCAAATAATGTGTTCTTTAAATAGTGGCACTCACACACAAAAGAAGCTCACACCGAAATATGTTGTCGATGCTCGATCAAGGTAGTTCTAGGCATTTAAAAAGCAGCTTCGACACTGTCAACACACATGCAGGGACGCATACTACAACCCAAATCCCTGAAGTATTGATCGTCTCTGAATTGGGGCACATTACCCTTCACGCGTATGGAGCGTTGTTTCTTCAGAGCGCTTGAGTAGGCAGACGTGTTAAGCGTGTGAAATACCGTGCATGGTCCCTGAATGAAGCCGTACAACATGCAAAGTAAAAGGAAAACCGTCCACTAACACCATGCCTGCCACAATGATGTAGATTTCGATGATATTACTCAAAAGGGTTGCGAGGGAACCTCCGCGTAACAGGCTGCGATAAAGGATGCCATTCAATACCAGCTGTCATGCTCTCAGAGTGGATTTAGCTGTGAGACATAACTTCAGATAAATCATTTTATCTATAAAACTCACTAACAAAAACGATATGTCTTACCTCACGGACGCAGCAGTTGTATTCCAAGTGCACCAAAGGTCATTGCGCAAATATTCAGAGGACGAGATGTGGGAGTGATGAGAAAGTAGGTTACACTGCACCTAATCCACTTCTTAGTGTCCTCCGTCGTCAACCCTCTAATCTTCAAAGCGCGAGGCGAGCCTTGCGCGCGCTCAGAGACTCCGTTAGTAATCTCACCGCTGTCAGTTCATGCGTGTGGCTCACTTTCTCTCGAGCAGCCGGTCAGCCAAAGTTGTCCACGTTTATTTCACCAATGCAGGCGACCCCGCGCATGAATGTTAACGATTTCCAATGAAAAAGTGGGAGAGGTCGGCTCGGTGTTCAGACTCTGACAGGTGGCAAATCCAACCATCGCTGAAAAGATTCACACATCATCTAACGGGATGCAGAGGCAGCCAAAACCATAAAGCGGTTCTCCCGGCAGATTAACCCGTGCGTTATGTGGTTTTTGTCTCCATGTCCTCTTTCCTAGCGCTCTGGCGCCACCCAAAGTTGTCCTGCAGAGTTTTATCCAAACGAAGGGATCACCAAAATCTTTCATGTCCAACGACTGTAACCAGATTTAGTCCAAATAATAACATTTTGATTTAGAAACACATCTTCTGAGATTACTTCTGATGAGTTATATCATGCGGTGCAGGCGTTTGATGTCATTCTCGTATTGTTATTCTCCTCGTAGCATCAAATGAATTAAATATCACTGAGATGGAACTAATCCAAATCTCTCTGGAGCCTCACCGAACGACCCCAATATACAGCTGGATGATGTTGTGAATATATGGGCCAAAAACAACTCGCATTGTTTGGCAGCTCTTGATATAGCTTGGTATCGCTTTTCCTGTTTGCCACAAACTAATTCGTTTTGTCATTTCAGAACTTGCTACAAACCAAGCACTTGTCCGTAGTGTTTCCTGCTTTTTGCCCTCACATGACAGTCACGCCTACCTCCACCTGTTCACATTTGCCTAATCAGCTCCACGTGATTTAAGCTACGCACTTTCTGTGATTTCTCAGCCGGGACTCCACTGTTACTCTCCGCCTTGTGTGAACATACTTTGTTGCTCTCTCGTGTTAACCATCCTGACGAACCCTCTGTTGATTAACCAACAAAATAAACTTAGATTTTTAACCTAAAATGCTTGTCATGCATTTAACCCCAATCGTCTGTCACGGAGGCCCCCAACAGCGTAGTGTTGTTGTTTTCAAACGGAGAGCATGCTATGTAAACCAGGAAAATAATATTATGACTTGCCTCTGTTTGGGGTCAAAGAGATCCCAGCTGAAATATATTGTTAAATCAAATGGATTCTCATTGAGCCTGTACAATGTAGTTGTACATTTGATTAGGCAAATACAGTATAGAATATACCAGTGACGTGCAGTGAGGTTCATGGCTGGTGAGGCACTGAGTCAGATTTACAAATATTATATTTTGACCTTAATCGAAATATTCGGTTATTTTCAAAAGCTTTTTTAGTCTGATGCTTCGATTCATTTTAAACAGACCGTTCAACAAAAGGATACCCAAAATCTAAATATTGGATTGTTCTTTCTTAGTAAGATCCCATTTTCATTACAAATGTGGTCTTACCTTGACTTGAAGATGAAGTCCATGCTATCCTTCTGGACAACAATCTCTATTACTTTTTTGTAAAAGTGCTCCTTATCTTCCTGTAGTTTCAAAAGTCTAGTTTGTTGTTACGTCTACCGTCTCTGCGTAGAATTACAGTAGCAACAAGAACCTGTGGGCTCACGTGCGCCCCCTTCAGTGCGGCAGAGGTTATGGCTGCCTCCCCTGGTGCATTTTCATTGCCGTTGAGAGCAGCAAGCCTAAATATCATATATACGTGAAATAAGTTATTTAGAGACTATGGATGGCGAGGATAAATGTAATAAAGGGATCTACATACATTACATTTGTGACCTACAGTGAGATGGTAACAGGCATGCGCTTAGGGCCCGCTTTCCAGCCAGTTTCTGTGGGGTGACGCATTCTGAGGTGAGGCAGAGCTCATCTGTGCCTCAACTCAGCCCACAGTAAATGGCTTGAGCGCGCTCACAAAATAAGTGCCCGCGCTACATTAGTGCCCGCGCTCCAGCAAGTTACTGTGGGCTTACGAGAGGCAGAGCACGCCCCTGCCTCACTTGTCATCGCTCCCGTAGCGGAGCTCGGCAAATTTGCTGATTTTGACTATAAAAAGCGATTAGAATCATACATAAATCACACTTACAACACAGATCAGTGGAGACATTTTATTATTATTACTATTTCGTTTTTCTTTAGTTGTTTTTCCGTTACATTGGAGTATGACAGGTGAGGCTCTGCCTCCCCTGCCTCCACTGACTGCACGTCGCTGGAATATACCTTTCTAAATAATCTACAGTATGTGTTAGTGAGTAGTGCACTTGAATGCAGCTCAAGGCCTGACTCCTCCCCCCAAACACTGCCCTCATTAGAGTATAAAACGCACCTGAGCCCCTTTGTTCTTTCCTTTGGCTCTGTTGTCATGGTCGGTGGTACAGGTAGGCTGAATAACTTACTATTTAGGATAGAAACATTGGTGTAAGTTCTGCTAGTATTTGACGCTCGCTGCTTCCTTTCAGATTGTCCTGAAGCTTAGTAGTGTTCCAAAACCTCTTCCTTGGTGAGTAAGGCAGACCCTGAATTGTTTGTATGCCACATGTTGAGCCATTTTTAACCTTCATTTAACCATTGCTTTTAGGTTCACCTGCTGCTGTTTTGTGTGTATGCTGTTTTGTTTATGCCGTTAACATCAATGTTTAATTTAGTTAGTTTTCTATATTTTGGTTGATTTCGTTTTTGCTTATATTTTGATTTAGTACGTGCAATAATAAAGATGATTTTCAACTGAATAGTTCTTGTTTTTCTAACCAACAATTTAACCTTACTGCAACATTTCCTGAGTTTCCTTTTCTTTTTATTGCATTTAAATAAAAATTACTTTATTTTGAAACGCGTCTCTGCCCCTCAGTTAACGAACCTGTGTCCTGATTTCCTTTTGTCTTTTTGTGTCTATGTCCTGGGGTGCAAGCCCCCAGGTGGCGTTGTCGGTCCTCTATCCCTTTTTAAAATAAGTTTTAAAGATCCCATTTAGTGTAATGTAATATAATATTTACAAACACACCATCATGCCACATATGGTTTCTTGCAAACAAGCATTATTGTTGCTTTAATGGCAGTTGTGAAGGACAAGGTGACGAAATGTCAAATAAGTCCCAAAAAACATTCCTGGAAAAATACTTTTTCTAGGAACATAACGACATTGCAAGCTAATGTTTGCGTAAGGAGTAACTGTGAGGAACTTTAGTGTGCTGCGTTTGCAAGTGTTGACAATCTGCATAACATCTATCCATCAGGCAGGATTGGAGAGATCAGTTTTGATTTGCTGTAAGTCTTGCTAAGCAGAATGAAAACACTCAGTGTCGAGCAAGTGCTGAATGTGCACATACAATTGTATACTTTATAAAGTGCCTACATGTTGAGTCTTACCACATCGTATACCACGATGATCCCATGTAAGCTGTGATTTGCAAATTCCAAACTTCCAACTTGGTTTATGCAATGACATCAGCATTTCTAACCTATTCCTTCTCTAACTGTGAATGAGAAGATTAGACCTAAACCTAAAACAAAAATCCAATTTTAAAATGATACTCGGGTCAAATGTCGGCTGCAAATGGGAATAAAAGACTTAAGCATCAAAGGAAGGAAAAACGCTGTATACTGTATGTTAAAGTAAAATAAGATGTTTAATGCAATTTTAAGGTTAAGTTCATATCGTTCAAAACATATATAACTTTATGTATTTTAGAATTTGATTCTATACTAATTTTTGAACAAAGAGAGATCTAATGGTTTAATGGCTTTCTTATTTTAATGGATGCTGTTGATAACAGTCTGTGGTGATGGAATGATTTTATCCATGTACTTTCTATCCTCTAGGCACCAACTAGATGTGTATTCCTTTTTTAGGAATAAAGAATAAGATTTAAATGGAGTAATGTACTGTTAATCTTTCTTAAAGCTGTTTAAAATACCAGCTTTGGTTTGGCCATGTAAGACTTGTTCAGAGATCTGCCTCCTAAAAGGATGCTGCTCTTCCATCTCATTCTACAAAGCGGTAAACGCTCTGGATTTTTCCATTTAATCTGTCTGCTGATGCAGTGAAATGAAAGATGGCAGGTTAATATTTTACCTGATTGGTAACCATGGTTGCTCTGGACATATAAACTACCTTTTTTAATTTCCATGCAACGTCTAACTTTGGATATCAGAAACATTTAACATTGCTGTCATGATGAATTTTCAGTTTTTCTCCTGAAATGCTTTCAAGACATGCAAGCCTTTCAGTAATTTGTTGTGGTGTATCAAAAGCAATTTCTCAAGTTGAATTTGTAAATCAAGTTTTAAATGAGTTGAAAAAAGTCTCATTAGAAAAATTGTATAATTGAAATCTGCATTTTTTTTAAATGCAATAAACCACAAAATACAAATAAACCAATTCATTTTCTGCACAGTGTCCTGAATACCTTATATTCGTCATGTAATATGTTTACTTAAAAATGTGTTCAATTAAAACTACAAGGCACATGCAGCATCTGAAACATACATAATGTATAATAAACATTAAAGAAATGGATTAAAAGAAAATGAAACATCGTAAAGTTTCATAAAGGTGCGTAACAATACCAGAGAAGCATGGTGCATGAGATTGAGTAACTGTCTGATGCAATGGCAGAAAAAGGAAATGTTAAACCATCATTATATGACCAAAATACAATATTCATTGACTTGTTCTCAAATTGCAACAAGCACATGCCTGTCGTGTTATTTTTGACACGACAGACTACTACAATTAGTTTGGATCACCATAAACGAAAGCCTCTGTTATGGAATTATCTTAACAAGACAAGAATAAAGCAGCACTGTCACATGAAAAGGTGAATAATTAACTTGCATCTGAGCAAATGTGCTGTGAGGTGTTTCCCCATCTGTGAACCCTTTTATTCTGCATTCTTGCTCAATATAATACGAAACAGATGCTGAGGAAGACTTCAGCAAATGTAAACGGTATAGAATGTGACTGTTTTTATCAAACAAAAACGTGGTTGATATTATATGTCTAGAAGATTTGCAACTGAGGTAAAAAAGTTATTATGGATTATGAGCCATATTTGAATCTGAGACAGGCATTAAAGCATTTGATGCCTATCTTGACAAACTAAATGACCAAGCTTATCACCAGTACTGAATGTAATTAATCACCGCAAAGAAGCTAAAGAAACCTTAATATGCAACTCAGGCTACTTCTCGTGAAAGTGGTCCTTGAGGTGTCCTTTATCGATTTTCAGGTAGAATTATCCGTCCATAAACACTGAGCTTAATCATAATAACTCAATCCGGCTGGTCCAATCAGGAGTTTGGCCAACAACTGGAGAGAGATGCTTAATCTAATTAAAATCCATGTGTGCTTGTCTGACAGACCCATTAACCAACAGACTTAAAGGATATAGTATTGTTGTTAAAACACAAACAATAACAGATATTTCAGGGGGAATTAGTGTTAAATGGTTCAACACGCAGCACTTGGCTAAATCACAAATCTCCCAGTAAGCTCTCAATGAATAAAACATGTGGATTATATCAAAGAAATGTTGAGGTTTGTGTCTGTAAAAAGTCACCGTCCTCCCTTGTTATGCAGATGAAGAAGTCAGATTCTGGTCTCTTTGTGACTATGCGGTAACATTTCTTGACAGCTTGAATGATTCATAACACTCCACCAGAGCTGTAAATCTGACAATAAATCCAGAGCTAACACTGATTTGCATAAAGGATATTACTTTCTCTTATTTTTCTAGCAAATTGGAAACATTTCTCAGTCACAGTTCATCTTTCAAAATGTGCACTGTGATGTTATCCTTGTTGAAATATATATCTACTGTTTCATATTTCTTTTTGAACAATGCAACATAACATCTGCTTTTTCTGCAGTCACAAAATATTTGCCTAAAGTTTCATTAAAGTCCATAAATGAATGCCACCACAATAAAGTGGTTCATTACTCTTCATGACAGCACATCATTTTTCATGTGTCATTTATTTAAAGAATTATTAATATTACAAATGTAGATTCGACAATTAATTGCTATTTTATTCAGATTTTAATTATTTCTGAAATCCTGTGCTATTGCTATAGAGTTGATATAAAGAAGGAAGACACCTTTTTTTTCCTCAATGTTAACATTGAAAAATGGCAATCCCTCAATTAGCGAAAAAAAAATCAGGGGTAATTTGTCATGGGCTGTTTGTAATTTTTCATAATTAATTAATATTTTGGACATTTGGAACATGACACAGATACTGCAGCACTGAACAAAATGTGACATTTTAGTTGAAATTACCCAAATTGGGTGATTATAACACGCCTGTAATAAAGAATATATTTGGGTATTCTTTGCCAAATGTGATTCTCTCCCTCAAAAAATCGTATGCTTTCCTTAACTGTGTTGTATTATCATTGTGATTCAACAATGTGTCTCCTATAATCAGATAATGAACAATTTAACCTCCCAGGCAGCCCTCTGCTTGGTATGCATGAGGCAGCACATGTTAGGATGGATTTTTGGATTTTTGGATTAAATCAAACAAGAGCCTGGCCAATGACAGGTCGTTGCCAATCACTGTGTGTCAATGGCAGGTGGTAGTCAGTAAGGAATGTGCCAACTGATTTGGCTCCACGCTGCACATTGTTTACAAGGCGACTGTCAAGACCAGCGAGCGAGTGGAGACAGCGAAAGCATGGAAGGAGTCATGTCGACAGCCATCTTTATTCATGTCACATAACCGGCATAGCCACACCATGGTATTACAAATGTCCTCATTAGGAGCAATTCTAAATAGATGCAATAAAAGCAATATGGATTTAATATTCAGCAAACATGAAAAATAGGATTGATCTGTATACTTACATTGGAGCCAATAATTGCCCTCTTAATTAAAAAGCAAATGAAAGCCAGCTTAGGGAGACACACACTGCCTCAGTTATACTTCTCCTATAATGAGTCATTTTCCATATGCTCCGCCTGTCCCAAAAACGGTCAAAAGGAGCGAATATGGAATATGTTCATGATTTGCAAATGTTCCTACTCAGAACAATGCAAAAACACTTGTGTCAGAAGTGCAGCAGGTTTCATCCACTTAGGGGTCCAGATTTCTGTTCTGTTGGCAGACTATACAGTGAATAATAAATTGGCTGATTCATTTTCCATATTTCATATTTCACCTGATATGCTAAGAGTAAATTCCTTTATTTGTGTAAACTAAAGGGTATTAACTAACACCATACTGGGATTCTAGTGAGATTATGACCATCCTGGCCAAGGCTACAGTGGGGTTGTAAAATGTGACGGCAATAATATTAGCTCTGCCAGATTTAGAAAGCCCCTTTTAATGCACCAAGCTGAACTTGTTGTCTTTTAGCCATTCAATATTAAATAAAGCATTTACAATACTAAATAAATAAAAATTATAATTCCATGCGCCCATTTGAAAGTGTAATGACAAATAATTAAGAAATTATGCACACATAATAAATACTGAAGATATATGGTTACATATGAATATCACTTAACATATTTTGTTAATAATAAATAATAATAATACATTACATTTGTATAGCGCTTTTCCTGGTGCTCATAGATGCTTTAATTAAAATCAGAAACAGAAACAGTATAAAGTGTTAAATGTTAAGCATCAGTTACCTATGTTAACAACAGCAAATAATGTTTCAATGGCTAATTTGTAACTGTTGGCAATTACATTAGAACCTTATATCTGCTTATATATA